TGCTGGAACTCGGACTCGATCGCCTTGACCTCGCGCTCGCTCGAGCCCCACGCAAAGCGCGGCGCCGCAAAAAACTGGCAGAAGCGGTCCAACCCCTCGCGCAGGTAGTTTGGGTGCACGTCAAAGTAGAAGCACGTCGTCTCCTGCGGGGGGCGAGGAGGCCGGCGCCATGAGAGAGAGAGGCGGATGGGCCGGACGGAGGCACCTCCCCCGCCCTGCCATCACCGCGTCCGTCTCGCCGTTGTCTTCTCCGCCGTGCGAGCTCAGGAAGGCCGCCCACTCATTCTCGTCCGGGTACTTTTCGGTCCCCATGAAGACCATATGCTCCACAAAGTGGGCGAGGCCGTTGGCATTCGGAGGGTCGCTCAGGTAGCCCACGCCCACGCAGAGGGCGAAGGACGCCTTCTTCACCGAGTCCGCGCCCTCGCCCTCCGAGTCCGCGCCCTCGCCCTCCTCCTCGCCCTCCTCGCCCTCCTCGCCCTCCTCACTGTCGCCCTCGCCCTCGTCCTCATCGCCGTGGCCGTCGCCGGTGTCCTCCTCCGCCGACATCTGTGGGTCGGATATCAGCAGCACGCGCATCGCATTTGGCAGCTCGACCAGCCTGTAGCTCCGATCATCAGTCGACGGCTTGGCAAGCGCCTCTCCCTCGCTGAGCACGCGCACGGGTGGCGGCGTCCCTCGTGCCCGCTTAGCGCTTGCTGACGGCGGGCGCATGCGCAGCGGCAGCACGGACAGCGGCCACGCGAGCAGCAGCACGAGAACCCCGGCACACGTCGTGTCGCAGGCTGGCGCGCAAGCGAAAACCCGGCTGAATTCTTCTTTCGGCTCTTGGCAGGGCTTTCACACTGACTCGCGCCACAAGGCCAGTATACTCGGATCCTGAATTTCTTCTGCTCTGGATACATGTTCCAGCTCTCTGCTCTCTTGGCGTACTCCTTCGCTCCGCCTGCCAGGTGCCCTGCCGCTCCCTCGCTCTTCGGCGTCCGGCAGTCAGGAGCGACGGCTGCAACCGCGGCGTCTGTTTGGGAGCTCCCGTTGCCGTTCACCTGCGCGTGCGGGTGTGGTGGCAGAGTCCCGCTGTTCACATCGAGCTCCCAGGACGCAGGCGGCGCGGTGTCGGGCGCCTCGGTGGCGGCGCTCAATTCTACAAGAGGTTCATCTCGCCACTGATCCCGCCAGGCTGCCGCTTCATACCCACGTGCTCCGAGTATGGACAGCTGGCCTTCAGGCAGTATCCGCCGCTGCAGGCTCTGGTTCTCACCGCGTGGCGCCTCGTACGCTGCAACCCTCTCCATCT